CTAAAGAAGCCTTGGATTTTTTAATCTTTTTTTTTTTTTTACTTTTGGAACTACATGGTTCTGAGTTACCTAGCATTAGGTTTAAGTGAGAAAATTGTGTTAATATGAAACTCATTCTTTTTTTATAGATATGTGAGCCCATAGATGCTATCTAACTTGGCTTCCTCACATTTCAGAGATGCAGAATTTGTGGGTAGATATTTTGATTAGTATGCCCTTTCTCAGATAATGAAGCAAAGCAGTACAAGTTTGGCAAGACGTCATCAAATCAGCAGCCAGCTGGAAAATGATCACAATTTTGCAAGATTATTAGGCCAGTGTCTGAAAACTTAGGAAAACATCTTATTAAATGCTCATCTCTTTAGCTTAAACCCATATCTTTTTTCCATGTGGAGACATTAAGGGTTGAAGCTTTAATTTACATATATACACTCAACGTTTTCCATATGTCACATAACTTTACAAAGAAAAAAGATAGATTGACTGCTGTCATAGAGGATGGTGTGCCCTTTTTGTAATAAGGGAAAGCAACTGTCCCGTGGCTGCAGCTGGTGGGTCCACTGAGGCAGGCACCTATGGTGGGAAAGGAACCATCTTCCCAACCAGCCACTGTCTCAGGAGATGATATGTCTTCATGAATGGGGTCCACTCTGCTCTCCTGTTAGCTATAGTGTGAAACTAGGGGTTACACGCGTTGTTCAAATTAGGAATCATTCACTGGCAGTGAGGAGTCTCAGTGCTAACAGATGGTGTGGTGGTTCTCAAACTTGACTGTACATTGGAATCATCTGGAGAGCATTAAAAAAATACTAATGCTTTTGTCTCACCATCAGAAGTCAGATTTACGTGAAATAGGGTGTGGTCATCATGGAGTTTTAAAGGCAGCCAAGTTTGAGAACCATTAAGTTGGGAAAACCCATTTTTGGGTCTCACTGAATGGCTTCAGGGAAGATGTCAACCTCTGTTTGTACACTTCCTAATGTGCTGTATTGCCTCGAAGGTTTTTCTCAGTCCTGGAAGAGATATAGGTCAAAGATTCTTTCCATGAAATGTCTTTGCTGAATTTTAAGAAATTTACATTTTTCCCCCTAAAGTCCTGGGTGAAAGGACCCACAAAAGCATTTTTTTAAAAGTAGGACTCTCTAATAAAAAGTAAGCCCTATGGCTCCCTTATGAAGACAAAAACATAAAACCTTTTCAGGTCAAATACTAAATCTTCCAAAACATTTGTAAAGCTTAATTTACTTAATTCAAACATTTATGCGTTGTCTTCAGTGCATGTAGTATATGTGTTTTGAGTGAGTAAATAATGTTTTGAGGACTCCTCCTAATTGTCAGGGGAGCAGTTTGTACAGTGTGTGAGGGAACAAAATGACATGTAGCTAGAAAACCATGGTAAGGGCATGTAATAGTGTGTATCAGCAGAAGAAGGAATCTGCTAGCTATGTGCCAAGCTTTACAGATGGCAATCAATAGGAGGAAATTGCTCTCAACTGTAACAAGATCAAATTAGATAAACGGACTCTTTTCTTGACCAATGGGTTTTTCTACTCTAGACTGAGTTGCTGAAGGAGGTTAAGAGTCTCAGACTTCTGGAATAGTTTCCTGCAGGTGTACCTCAAGGTGAAAAAAGAGGGAGAAAAACAGTTTCCAAATCTGGCTGCTCTTCTGTCATACCGAAATGGATTATGTAAATTCTGAGTTCCAGGACCTGCCTACAGAGATTCCGATTGAGCCTTTCTGGAAAGTCCTTAAGAGTTTGTACTTGTAAACACCCCAGGGAATATTGTTGCTCAGCCAACATTGGGACCCACTGGGTTTTCTGCACACCCAACTTCTGTTGCGGTGCTGTTTCACAGGCTCCTGACAACCAGTCTGCCCTGCTGTGTCCCAGGGATTCTCGATTACTCATTCCTGATTTGTGAGCACATTTGCTCAGTAGATTGGCTAGCAGGACCCTGTCAAATAAGGAAGATTTTTATAAATAAGAAATTAATGTAAATGTGAGAATTAGGCTCATAGAGTGCATATCAGGCCCTTTCCATTCAGAAGGATGTTATTATCCAAATACACATGATTCTTACTAGTAAGTGACTTTATTGTAAACAAGGATTAATTAACACCCGGCTAGTGGAGCTCGGCTAAAAAAATTATTTAAAAAATAAATAAGTGTTATGTCAATAAATAAATAGAATTTAAAATTAATTAAATTAATCTTTTTAAATTTTTTTTTTTTTTTTTTAGAGAGAGAGCACGCAAGTAGGGTATAGGGGCAGAGGGGGAGAGAGAGAGAGAGAGCGAGCGAGCAGGCTCCACGCTCAGTGAAGAGCCCAGTGCAGGACTTGATCCCAAGATCCTGGGATCACGACTTGAGCCAAAATCAAGAGTCAGATGCTCAACCAATAGAGCCACCCAGGTGCCCCAATTTAAAATAAGATTTGTAAATTAAAATACGACATTCTTACTTTGTTGGGCTTTCAAAACAACTCCACTGAGTATAATTCATATACCATAAAATCTACCCTTTTAACATATACAATTCAGTGGTTTCTAGCACATTCACAAAGATATGCTACCACTATTATCTAAATCCAGAACATTTTCATTATCCCTTTCCCATCAGCAGTCACTCTCCATCCTTCCTCTCTATCCCCTGGCAACCACTAACTGAAATTCTGTCTCCATGAGTTTGCCTATTCTGGACATTACATATGTATTGAATCGTAGATTATGTGACCTTTTACACCTGGCTTCTTCTATCTAGCATATTGTCAAGGTTCATCCATGTCATAGCATGTGTTCATACTTCATCCTTTCTGTGACTGAGTGATATTCCACTGTGTGGCCATGCCACATTTTGTTTATGTAGTCACCCATTAATGGACATTTGGGTTGTTTCCAGTTCGGGACTATTATGAGCCTTTGTGTACAAGTTTTTGTGTGGATATCTGTTTGCATTTCTTTTGGGTATAGACCTAAGAATATTGGTAATTTATAAGCTGGCTGATCAATAAATGGGGGTATACTACTATTCCCTCAAATTGTATATATGTTTGAAATTTCTTGTAATAAGAAGTAAAGAAAATAAAAGGAAAAAAAAAAAACCCACACAGTTTCAAAAGTTCCCACAAAATGAAGCTAACAGGCAAAAAATGTGACTTTTGAGAAAAAAAAAACCATTTAGACAAATAAAATATTTATTGCCTCAGAAGTGGGTTTAATATATGAGAATAATAAAGAATGTGAGAATAATATATCAATAGAGACAAATCAAGTTAAAGCTGACTTATGTTAGAATTTTTATCCCTTATTTTCAGGGTAAGTAAGCTGAACTTTAGAGTTCAATAGCTTCTTGGTTTATCTCTATTTCACTGAATCCCTTAATCATAAAAATGGATACTTTTATCTTTTAAAATAGATGTGATTGCTCCAAAAAACACATTGTCAGCTTAAGTAAAGGCAGTTTGATCAAGTTGATATTGATTTATATTTATAATTGGGTTTGAATTTTCCATATAGGCTCACATCCATTAATTATAAATAGTCATTAAGAATAATCAAAATGAAAATTAAAACCTTCCTAAAAGAACAAAATGCTAAAGAATACACTAAAGAAAACTTTGTTTGTTTGTTTGTTTTAAATTACCCCTACCTTTCTTTCCTCCAGAAAATGTGTTCTGTTTTACTGATGCATAGATGCTATACATAGGTCCTTGAGTATCGTCTATAATTTAACCTGTAGGACAGGAGTGTGGTTATGAAAAGCAGAATTTCAAGGTCAGTCAATGAGAACCACCCATGGGCTATCACTCACACAATGAAATTTTTGCTATGAGAATTCCAGATCTCAAGATGTTCCTTCTGGAGCCCAATATAAGCCAGTCAAATAAAGATGAATGAGGAAATATTAAACATCTGTCCATTTTATGTTTGACAGCATTATTTTATTTAAAGCACCTACAAAGTGATATCACTGATACTTTGTCTACTGTTTTAAGCTTTCCAAAGTGTCTTAAGACTATTAAGTTGGTTTTCATTAGTAAGTTCAAATCACAGGGTCATAGGTTGTCATGGCATTTTTAAGAGTGTTACATGGAGAAGTACAGAGAACAGTACACATGCAGAGAACATCAAAGTTTGCATGGGTAAGTCTGTCTGTGTGATAGTCATCCATACATCTCTGTAGCATTTGGTAAACTCCCCTCTAGAGAAAAGAGAGTATATCCTCAGAGCCACATAGACTATCATGCAAAATAAGAGGTGCCAATGGGAGTGTGTCAGATGGGTGAATGGATGCATTCACAGAGAAGCCTAGTTCTGAGCTGTGATGTCTTCAACTGACAAGTTTAGACGTTCTCTGCCAATACAAATCTCACTTCCAAAAATTATAGTCCCTGTGTATTTTCTGTTTTCCTGGGTTCTTTGAAACTGCTTCTTTGAAGATATAAATATTCTATTTTGATAAAGTTTTTATATTCTTGTGCAAGTTAAAATAGAAAAATGAGCTCAGGAAGTGAGACCCAGAAGGTACCATAGTTATTATTTAATCTAAATATTCACCTCACAGTTGAGGAAGCAGGGAGAATATGTCCTGAACTTGGAGGGACACCACGTCCACCAACTGCTCAAAGATTAATTACATTAATTATGGCATTTGCATGGCTCTGATACTCAACACATATGAATTGAGCTCCTAATACATGCCGACCATGGTACTGGACCCTGTGGCTCCAGCAGTGGACAAAAAATATTAAGTTCCTGAGCAAATGGAATTTATGTTGAACAAGAATGATGCATATTGGGGGATGGAGGGGAAGAAAGAGAGAAAGAAACTAGGGGCAGCCTCATTTGAGATAGTCTAAATCTGAAAATCATGTTCCTGTCAATAACCAGAGAAAATTCCCTTCCCCCATAGGATGAAAATATTTCTACTTTCTACCTATATAACTCACTTTTCATTTCAAATTATAACAAAAAACAGTCTTGGGTTTCCTTTTTAGAAACTGTCATCCCAGAAATCATCTAACTTCTGTGCATGTGACTTCTCATCTGTAAACTGAGGACTAGACCACAGGATTACTTAGGTAGGTTTCCCTCTTCCTTTGAGACTCTTCATTAAGCAGAGCCTCACAAATGTTTTGAATTCTTTTTCCTACTCTTCCCATCCCCTTACCATCCCACGAAGGGCTCTGAGGATGATGCCTCAGTTCCTATATCTGAAAAGACCTCCTGGTTCTTGTGGTATAGCTTGGGATGTAGTGATAATGGTAGAGAGTCCACATGTTTCCTGAAGCACAGCCATCTTCTGGCTTTTTCTTTCCTTTTAGATCCATAGAACCAAAAACTGACAAGACCATCAATCATTGTGCAGGAATAAATACTGCTAAACTTGTCAGCTTTTTGATCCTTCCCAGATCATTTTTTTTAGCTCAGTTCTTGGAAAAGGAAACCTTGCCAAGGCTTTAATTTTTCTTTGTGGTGTCATATTTGCCATGCCAAGGATAGAATATTGAGGTCATATGATTTTAAGACTCAGAAAATCACATGGTAATAAAAGAGGAACCAAACTATATATGAGTAGTGATATAAAAATGAGAAAATTCATTTTCGAAAGAAACTTAAGAGGCAAACTATCTCATGCCGAGTTTACTTTGTCAGTTTCTTTAACTGGTCTGCTGGAGACACTAAATAAACATTTTCCATAGTGCCAAGCTTTGCACTCATTTTGGGTGGAATTTTTGTTAAATGCCACAAAATATGCACAACCCTTCACTTATAGAAAACAGCCAGTGTAGGCCACAGTGAAATTGATCCATGGTTAGCCAGTTCACTCTGGACTAGAACCTGGCTGAGAGGCAACTCCAGTATTGCCCCAAGTGAGTTTATGTACCAACAACAGAGACAAATTGACTGCATATCAGGAATATGTGGTAGGTCATGTAGCTGGCTACTGATGATAGCCCCATTCTACAGGTGGAAAGGCATCTCCCATGCAGTGCTCTGGTATCTTCTTCCTTATATCTAGGTCCTCCCGTTGTTATAAGATTAAATACAAGTTCATCTTCCTCTACAAAATCTTTGCAGACCACTGCAATCCATGAAGATTACCATTTTGTGTGAACTAAAAGCACAACTATTTGACTCATTTATCAATTAAGCATGTTCCCCATCTTGTAAAATTATGTTGTAGTTTCTTCTTTAAGTTTTAAGTATACATGTGCCTTCTCAGAAACTAGATGATAAATTACATTGAAGAAGTTTTCATCTTTGGGCCTGATACCGTATATTGAATATATTTAGATAGATTTGCTCAAGACGAAGCTTGTCCTAACAGTGTCACAGAAAATATTACAAAAAAACATAGCTAACTTTAAGCAAAATTTTACAGTATGCTGCTAAATCTTCTTGACTCTATTATTTTCATTTCTCCAGGAGCTGCAGTATCCCCCAACTTTATCTTGCATTTAGGCAGCCAGTAGCTCTAACTTGTTCCCCCTGATCAAGACTTGTGCTCAGGGAAGAATTTAGCATTGGTCACTTATATCTCAGTTAGAATACATTTAACCTTTCCCAAGAGAATTAACCGTTTCACCCAGTAATACTGGTGAAATGATAGACTTTTTCATCCTTCAGAGGAGTTTCATATGAGCAAGTTTGGGAGAGAAAGAGAGAAGAACGCAGAGAGATGGTGGCGTTGATATTCCCAAATAGGGGGAAATTATACTACTCTGGTAGCAATCTCCTCTAGCAACCCATTTGGCTCAGACTAGGAACAGCAACATCTTCAACTGTAAAGTCCTGGTAAGATATTCAGGACCATCAAAACTCAGAACTAACCCCTGCTTTATAGACCGTCACTGAAAACATTTTCCCATGAAGAATTTCATGTCAATACTTGAGATGCCCGTATCCTTTTATTAAGGAAGGCTGGCTGTTGATGGAAGCTAAGCATTTCTTCCAGAGCCATGATTATACTTTGTATAGATACTAAACAAAAGCAACAACAAAAAAGAGAGAACATTTACCATCAGCCAACATTCACCGTGAGAGTCCTATTCCGTGAGGAAAGCATATTATAGAGGAGGAGAGCTTTAGCATCGAAGTAGGTACTGGCAGCTCTCAAAACACTTTAACTCAAAAACAGTTTGTTAATTAAAGAAACATCCATCAATAATAAATTTAGCAGGATTTTGCAGCAGTAAGGTTCAAATTTTAGAAAATTCTAATGTAAAAAATTTGCTGATCTTCCAAATGATGTAACGATACTGATTTGCTAAGTACCTAATTATCATCTTTATCATTATTTATCCAAAGACATGAAACCTTTTAGTTTTGATGACTAACTAAAGTGACACCATCAAAAAATAAAGTTTTGTTTGAATTGATGAACATGTGCACTATTTTCTTACAGGTAGGAAATGATTAGAATTATCTAGCAATTTTCAGATATGTCTATGGGGTAACCTGTTGTTGGAAGTTAATTTTAATCACCCCATAACTGAAGAGTATGTTTTCTGGATCTGTAAAGGTGGGAAAATATTCTTTTGTCTCATATAATAGGAGAGATACTTTTCTAGGAATATCTTTGTAGGCCTTCCTTTACGTGGGCTATAACAAACCCCTTTCTGCAACTCATGAATCAGAGTTTTACCAAATGCCAAATTGTTTTGCTGACCTCAGGAGTGGAAATGTCAGTAAGTATGTGGTAGGTGGTAGTGTAATTCAAAGGTATTACCAGCACGGGTGTTCTTGGCATTTACTCATGGCATCACCCATAGCCATTGTAACAGAAGAAATTAAGACTGAGGTAAAGGAGGTTAGGGCAATACAAAAAAAATGGCAAATGACATTCCTTCAAGTAGGTGAGATACTAGCAGAATTACCACAGCTATTCTTCTTCCTAGATTTTCTCCTTTTTCAAAGTCTGGAAAACATTCAGCAGATTTGCCAAATACAACAGATTTGCCTTTGGAGAACAGAGGCTTTGGTATTTCAAAACAGAAGATTGTTAGATGCTGCTTTTGAAATGATTTCAAATCAATGTTTTTAAAGGTTGTCATCTCAGTTGTTAAATTTTTTAAATTAAAAAGGAATATTTTGCATGCACATAATAGAAAGCTCATTATGCATGATTAGATGCAAAATGTTCCCCTAGGCTTTTCTCTTCCACTACCCATATATAATTTCAATCTCTTCCTAGCCTACCTGCATCATTTTGGGCAGGCTTTTCTGTTTCCTGTGACCTTCTTCTCTTCCTAGCACCATACTCCTGGTCCCAAAGGGCACTGGCTTTAAAACAAGGACTGTGGCTCTTTAAGTTGTACTATCACTGGGGCAGTGGCTACTGTGGGTGTCATATAATCATATAGCCTTTTGTTCCATATTAGCTGACATGACGTAAAAAGCTTTGCACTGTGTGAGATAGTAGTAGGTGTGCTTTTCCTCCTGAAGCTGCTCTGTGCAAGCTCATTCAGAATTGGCAGAATGGAAGTAATCACCTATTTTAAGTTTGCAATGTAAATTTATGTTGTGTTTTGAAGGAAGGCAAAGGGGAACCAATTTTTCCCGTAACCTACTGTTTTTCCTCTTCTATGCAGGCCTGCCGAGTCCATCACTATGACCGATGGGGACTATGACTATCTGATCAAACTCCTGGCCCTTGGAGATTCGGGGGTGGGGAAGACGACATTTCTTTATCGATACACAGACAATAAATTCAATCCCAAGTTTATCACCACTGTAGGGATAGACTTCCGGGAAAAACGTGTGGTGAGTCTTGACCCATACTGTTATGTTAACCTTGTTGTTGATCCTTCTCAGATTAAATAGAATTAAGGAGCTATGGTTACTGCATTGCAAGGAGTCTGTCTTTTTTTGCAGGAAATTCATAACCTGTCACTTTAATTCAATTTAGAATATTTTTAATTTTGTCAACCATAAATCACATTTTTGCTAAGAAAAATGTTGAGTGACACTATCACTTGTCTCCAAAAGTATATAGGACAAATAAATATTTTATGGGTCTATATGAATTCTATGAATTCTCTAGGAATCTTTCAAAACCCGAACTATCCAGGTTGCCAAAGCATTCACTCTTGATCTGAGTTAAGTTTCTCAATAAGAACCAGTGGTGTTCATTTATCCACTCTTAAGAGAGAAGTTAATAAAAGGATGATTGGCAAATAGCTGGAATATGAGCTTTGTAAGTTCTTGCTGCATTTGTATTTATGTGTAGACTCAGCTATCAATCACTAGCTTATTATGAACAGAATGTGAGACCAGTCCATGCTATTTTACAAGATAAGGGAGTTTAAGTGAGAATTACAACTGCTTTCTGCTCCTATGCTAGACACTAATGACAGGAATAAAGATATTGTGACATGTGAGACATGTAGCATAGACACATAAGCTTAGCCAGATTTACTGCCACCCAAGGTATTTGTGATTGCCAACATGGCTGTGGCTTCCAATTGATGTCACAAGTCTACTCTTTTCTTTGAGAACTGGGGTGGGGGGAAGGAAATAGTGGTTGAGAAGTTAAATTCATGGTTCCTTATAAATCTTGTGCCTGATCTGAAAGTCAATACATTTTAGTGTAGTCTTGGCTTCTAACCTTGCTTCTAACCCCTCCCTTCCTGTGGCTTCACCGCTCCCAAATGCCTCCACTGATCTAGGTAGAAGTCCTTACAAAGTTTTCCCTTTAAACATTTTTACTAACACATACTTAGGAGAGCTGATTAGGTGTTAAAGTTGTTATGCTTTGCTGAAATAAGAAGTCAAAAGGCCATAATTTTGAAAATTTAAACATTAATAAAAAGGGCCTTTGGAAAAATGGCTACTAAAGGAAGACTTGAAATATCTTGTGTAAACTTACTAAGAAATTCTGTGCCTATTTTGTGGGTAGGTCATTTTGAAAGTCCACATCACAGTAAAAGATATTCAGGTATTTGTAAAGCATTTCACTGTTTTAGAAGTGCATTCACATGTGCTATTTAGGTTTGCAGGAACTCTGTAAAGTAGGAAGAGATTGTGGGTCTCAATTTGCTGTAAGACAATAAGATTCAAAGAAGTGAAATGAAGAGTTGATACTTGAACCTAGAACTTGGGTCCTCAATCTAATGTTTGCTGCCTCCATGAGGAAGTGACAGAAGGTGTCTAATTTAAGTTTGCAGTATGCCTAAATTGTGTTGAAAATCATACTTGTACTTGACATTTAAAAGTGAGAGTCTATGTGATACTTCTGGAAAAAAAAACAGAGCAAATATTTATTCTGCACTCTGAACTTTGATTATAGTAATTGAGAAAAAACATACTGCATGAACCCAGAGAATTTGAATGTTGACAAAATCCAAAGTAATATCAACTGATGAAAATTGTATCTTTTAGGTTTATAATGCACAGGGACCCAATGGATCATCAGGGAAAGCATTTAAGGTGCATCTTCAGCTGTGGGACACTGCAGGACAAGAACGGTAATAGTAAATTACTTTGTTTCTAGCTACAAACAGCTTAGAAAACTCACTTTACAGTGAATGCCATACGTGATCTTGAAAGTCAGATGATCTACAACTCTTCTCCTGGTTTCAAAATAGACATTTATATCACGAAATGAGAATAAATTGTTTATAGTTACTTGGCCATAGCTAGCATTGTGTATCTGGTATGATTTCAAAAATCAGATCTTCAAAAATCTCTGAAGATCCCTGTGTTGTCTTTGTACTTTCTAATAGGAAAAAAAAATCTTCTTTAGCATTTAATTAAATTAAGGTGGGCAATTGACATTATTATAAGTGCAACCTAAAGAGGGAATTAAGGAAAGGGGGGTAAGACCTTTCTCATTTCTTTCCATTCTTCTGCACAGCTCCTCTGTCCTGTACCACTTGACTGGCTTAGTTTTCTAAAATTTGGGTCGCACCATTGCTCTCTAGCTAGAATATTTTCCTCCCTTCCCACCTTCCCTGATCCTCTCTTTTCACCAGGCCTGTCTCATGTACGACCTCCTTTGTGGGAGCCTTTCTAAACACTCACTTGAAACAAATCCCCTCTTGTTATGAACTCCTATGACACTGATCCTTTTGTCCATTAAGTTAATTAATTATACACCACCTTGTAGTAAGGTAAATCTTTTATTGATTCACCTGTGGCCTTCTTACCCCAACAAAATTGTCAGCATTACCGGGGCAGAGACCATGCTTGGTTTTCTAGCATCTTCTCTGGTACAATGTCCAAGACAAGAGAAGCTCAGTAGACAGGAGTGTTGTTTAGTTAGAGCTGAAGGTACTGTTCCGTTATTTGATGAAAATATATTTCTTTGGGACCCAAGGTTTCCACGTGGTAAAGACCACAAGCTAATGAAGCTTTTCAATATCAGATTAAATAAAAAATGGCTGTGGATTGTCAGAGAAGATATTTAGAAGGCACATACCTCCAAATCCAGCATCACATGTCTTAGAATGTTTATGCTTGTAAACACTTTCGTTTTTGAAATGCGTCCAAAGTGTTCTCGCTTTCCGTGGGTGTAAACGCCAGTAGAGGTGCTGGGCCCTCTCTGTTAGCTCTTTTGACTGTGAATTCCATTTACACACATTCTTCAACACTGCTAGTTCTTCTGAAGTCGTTCCTCACAAGAATCTCTGTTCATATGTCAGTTTTGTTGTCACAAAGATGTATGTTTTATAGACCAATTTAATTCATTTTTGAAGAAGTAATATGAGAAAATGTGGTTCCCATATGTCCTCACACATGATATGTCAGCCTCGCATGATGGTAGGCTTCTCTCCTCTGCCCCCTTAAGACAGCTGCTCTATGAGGGAAGGGAGGAATACCAGGATAGTCTTAGTAGCACTGGGGTTTTTCATCCCTTGAATGTTGCATTCTGTATATATATAAGGTGTAGCTACACAACAAGATAAACAGTGTCTCACACCTCAACCCTGTGCCTAAAAACATCTGGCAGTATAATACATATAAGATAATGCTTATTGATAAAAGTGGTATCCTGGGAACAAGGGAAAATATCATACCCCTTATGTAAACCTCAAGGATACAGGACACAGCCTTAGTTCCCAGTGAGGGAGAGAGTAATAATGTGACTCTGGGATCGGTTTCTTTTGTTTGTTTTTTTATGTGGGTCTAGCTTTCCCCACCCTACTGACTCACTGGACAAAATGAGATTGGTGAGTAAAACTGGAAGTCAATTACCTTTCCCCTGGAGTAACCCTGGGAAGAATGGGGTTGGGGGAATAACAAGGGTGCTGGGCAGAATGGTCCAGGATATGAGCCTGTGGCAGAATAACAGTGTCCTGTCCATGTTGCTGTGGATGCAGAAATGTTTGTCCCAATGAAATCTGTACAGCAAACATGTTTTAAAATTAACTTTGTCATGTGCTATGGACAATGAGAGGGGGATATGGCACAGTCTTGTCCTTAAATGAGACACACATACACAACTCTTTCTCTCTCTCTTTCTCTCTCTCAAAGAGAACAGAAAGCAGTTGTCTTAACCACACTATTGTGGCTGAGTAGGAGATAATTTTATGAATACAGCTAGTCACCAAAGAGAAAGAAAACTTTTATAAAAGCTCTATAATCTCTGAGCTTCCAGCAACTGGTAGGAGCAATTCCACAAGAAAAAAAATTGAGTAAAATTTTTGGTATTTCATAGTTATCATGATTAATGCCTTACTAAAGAAATCAAATTTGGGAATAAAGTCATTAAAATACCTATTCTCCTTGCTTTGGTATTAAAAGGATTGTTGTCTATTGAAGTCATTGAAATTGTTAATAATTTTATATCCTTTACTATTCTCTTTATTTACTTACTTTTCTCTTAATTTGACAAACATTTCATGAGCAAATACTATGTTCAAGACCATGAAAATGTAATGGATAACAAGTTAGAAATACAACTTCTTTCCTGTTGGGGCTTACAAGGCTAGGGTAGCATTTGAATAGATAAGGAGCAATTGCAATATAGCCTTAGGGCAGTGTCAGGAAAACAAAGGGTGATAAGCAGGTGCACCAGGAGAAACCCATTAGCCAGATGTGGGTGTTAGGAAGGCTGCTTGGAAAAGTGATACGTCTTCTGATATCTATATGGATATATAGATATACAGATATAGATATATAGATATATATACATACACACACATATACATATACATACACACACACACACACACACACACATACACACACTCATACATAATGTATGAGTGAGGGAGTCTTAACAGGTTAAAGAGGCGGGAGATCGAGGAAGCATTAAGGCAAGTTTACCCACAGGAAGAACAGCGTGTGTGGGAGCCCAGGGGAGAGAGTGAACTTTCTAAGGACTAAAAGAAGATTGGTATGCCTGTGGGTAGTCAGGAGATGAAGCAGGGTAGATGAGCGAGGATCAGTTCATGCAGAGCCTGACAGCTTATGAAAGAGTTCAGTCATTATCTTAAGAGCATTGCATCATTGTTTAGATGTTTTCAGCAGAGGATTTATATAACCAGGGGGAAGGAATCAGTGAAGGGGAGGGTCCCAAACAAAACTGGAGACAGGAAGCCTGTTAAGAAGGCTGTTGAAGTTATTCAGGGGAAAGATAATAGGTTCAAAACTAGGGCAGGTGGACAGAAATGAGAAGGTCAGGAGATGCTTAGTGATTGTATACAGTGGGTGAAGGAGAAAGAACAGGTGTGACGTCACCGAGGATCATGATGCATTGACAGAAGAAGAAATCAGGAGGAGGGGCCAGTTTGGGTTTAGCCATGGGAAGTTAGAGTTGCCTCAGTTTCCTCCAACTGGAAACATACAACAGGTGATTGGGCATGCAGCATGAAGGGCAGGACAAATCTAGACCTATTCATTTGGGGTCCAACACATAGGTGGTAATTGAGCCAGGGAAATGGATGAGATTACTCAGTGAGTGTATGTAGAGTGGGAAGGGGTTGAGAGTGGAACTCCAGGGAAACCAAAGAATCTAAAAATAGGCTAACATAGGAGTCCAAAAATTAGGAGGACATTTAGGATAGGAAGTGGTATTCTGTATTTCAAAGTTATGTGCCTTTCTAAAACCCTATTTCCAAATTCAATTCTGTATCAATATAGCCCAAACCTTCTCTGCTCCGTCTGTGTGGTCTCTGGTTTTGCCCATTTTTAACATTGAAGCGTATCTCAGCACACCTTCAATTTCACTGAAGGCTTTGGGGTGGAGGAGGTAGGAGCCGAGGAAAAAAGTCTTTATACTGTACGTGACAGAGTATATTCTTCAAAATCCTCTACTAGAGATGAGTGTTCTTGCTTTCTGTCTCCACCTACTATGTCCCTCTGACCTTGCCTTTCTTCCCCTAATCGTCTTTCTCTTTCTCCTTTCTTCAGTGGTTTTTCCCTCTTCTTCCTGAGACATGGATGTCAGACTCAAAATCAGCTCTACCCCCAGAATGCTTCTAAAAGAGTTTTCTCACCAACATTGTTTTTTCCCTGCAAAAGAACCTCATCTCCGGCTGCTAACAAGTTGTGGTTTTCTGCATGTAATCATGGGCATTCATTTTTAGGTTACCGAGTGCCAAACTTTCTTCTAGGTGCAGACAAGGGAGATTGAAAAGTTTAAGTTAAAGTCCCCATTTGAGAGTGGCTTCTATTTTACCTGTGGACCATAAGATATCCATGAGCCAACAAGGGGCCCAACAAGTCCAAGGGGCTGTGTAAGTCAGTGTGTGATTGAATGTTACAAACTCAGTGTATATAAGTGTTCTAGACCATAAAGCCAGGATGTGGTCCTAAAAAAATGTCTACAACCAGATGTCTTCCCCTGACCCTTTAGCATTCTTTCTACCCACTTTCTCCTTCTGTAGGAGAATCCATAAGGGATGCCATGGAGATTTCACATTTCAAAGGAAAATAGTGTTGTGTGTATTGTCATCGTAATATGTTTGTGGGCTAACTTCCAGAACTATCCACTGTGTTTTCTTGGCAGATTCCGGAGCCTCACAACTGCATTTTTCAGAGATGCCATGGGTTTCTTATTAATGTTTGACCTCACCAGTCAACAGAGCTTCTTGAATGTCAGAAACTGGATGAGTAAGTGGTATCAACTAACTTGCATTGGCCACTTTGGGCCCCAGCTTCATTGCTTCACGACAAGAAACCAGATTGGGTTCCACAGATTAACTTTGAGAATTCATGAGTTTAGTATTTCCTGTCTCACCTTCAAAGTGATGGCCTTAATGTGGCTCACCTAAGGTGACTTGGAATTGTATCTTAGAAGAAGCCTATGTAGCTCTATCACCACCTATATTCAAGGTCATTATAATTGCAATTGAAAGGCTATTAATTCCACTTATCCAATGAGTCTTAAAAGACTTCTTACAACTATGTAAGCTACCACATCTAATCTGGAAAGGAGACAGGGAAAAGCAGCCGTGTTTTCTGAGAGGGTTCACTGACACCTAAAAATGTGTGCCCTTGTGCATGGGTTAACTAATGGATTAATTAACCAATGGATGAATTTGGTGAGAAACTGCTCCAGAGCAGACCAGCCATGTGAAGATAAGATACAGTGTGTCAATCATCTCACATGGGAATTTTACATTTTTGGAAAAAATGTTCAAATGTAAGGAAGCTTTGAATAGAAAAATAGAAAGTTAGGTATAACATTAAGTTAAAAGTAGCCTAATCAGTTATTAAAGACAGATTGATATATGTCAGCCCAGAAAAATAGCATTTGATTTCCTTTTTTAAAAATTGATATAGCACTAAAGAGAATATTTCATTTGCATTTTTATTACAAACATGAATTTTGATCCTAATGTATATATATTATACATTATACACATATATATACATAGATATATATGTGTATATATATATATATATATATATATATATACATTATACATATATATACATAGATATATATATGTTGTCCTATGGGACTAGTGATAGTCTTATCATTTCTAGATTTGTCGGGCCGTCTATGGCCAGAGTGATATTTTTTTAAAAATTGGATCATGTTATTTCCCTGCTCAAAGTTTTTCTGGGACCTCCCAAATCACTTAGAATAAAATCCAGACTCCTTCACTCACCTGCAAGGCCATGGATATCAGGCCTTGGCTTCCTGTGTAATTTACTCTCATTCTCCCCCAGCTCATTGGCCTCCAGCCAAAAGTCTCTCTTGCTGACAGGGACAAAAGGCACATTCCTACCTGTGGCTTTTGAACTTTCTGATTTTTTTCTGCCTCGATTTCTCATCTCCTGTTTATGGAGTGTGCTAGCTCTCTCATCACCTTCAAGGTTTTGTTCAAACCTAATTTATCTCTTGGAGGAAGCCTTCCCTGACCACCGTCTACACTAGTACTCCTCCTTACTTTGTATCTCCCCAATGTACATTTTATTTCCTTTTGTCACTTCCACCACCTGACATTATATTATATATTTCTTTACTTGTCATTTTGACTCTCTTCCACTAGAATGGGAGCTCTATAAAAGTGCTTCGTCTGCTCTGTTCCATTGCAGTAGTCCAAAACCTGGAATAGTGTTTGGCACAGAATAGATGCTCGAAAAATATCTATTTATTCTTATTATATATGATTTATAATTAATATATGTAACTGCTTTAAATGCAAATTCAATAATGCACTTGCTACCATGGGGGAAAATACCAACAAATTCTGACTTCGTTAATTGCTTTTCCAGTTGAGTGTTTATCTTAGAATCTGTCTCTGTTTCTGTTTATTACTGTATTTCTTTATCCAAATTTTGGTGGTATTATTAGATTCTGAGGAGATAAACAATAAGATTATTAGATTTTTTTCAGAGAATGACTTATTCATCCCTTTTCAAGGCAGATAAAATTCTTCCTTATTTAAAAAAAAAATTCCTGAAGGGTACTATTGGGATTCAAGATAATTAATTGGCATGTCTCGTAACACTTTAATTTTTAACACCCAAATAATTAGTGTTACAGGGTAAGCCTTGTCTTCTTCCTTGGCAAAGTTTCATACAGCATCTCTTGAGATAGAAATTAAAGTAATCCCTGTAATTTTAAAAACATAGGTTGATAGATTTCTTATTTCCTTCCTTCTTTCTTCCTTGTTCCCTCCCTTCCTCCCCCAACCCTCCAGTCCATCCTTTTTTCCTTCCCTCCTTCTCTCTTCTCTCTTTTGAACAGAGAAAAGAGAAAAGAGAAAAACCTGTCTTAAAATTATTTCTCCATGAACTTGAACTTGTGGTGGTTCAGAAACATTCTATTCTTACAGATCATCACCTTGGACTTCAGGAGATAGAAATGTAGCAGTCTCTTATAAAGGAAAGAGTAAACTTACACATTTAAAAATCCTGTTTACCTGAGTGGTTCAGTCAACTGAGTGTCCAACTCTTCATCTGGGCTCAGGCCATAATCTCACTGTGAGCGCGAGCCCCATGTCAGGTTCTGCACTGTCAGCATGGAGCCTGCTTGGGATTATCTCTCTCCCTCTCTTTCTGTCCCTCCCCACCACCCCCCTCAAAATAAATAAATAAACTTTAAAAAATCCTGTTCTGTTATCTCTACTTTTACTTGAGGAACAAATAGTATGAAGTGGTATGTCCATTTCCCCAGATGTAGAAGAGCACTGATACGTGATCATATAGTTGCTTCATATAAATTATTATTAATGATCACAATCTGTGATTTGTGAGACGTTATCTTCATTCATTTTACCAACGAGGAAGCTGCAGTTGAGAAGCGTTGAGTAACTTGGCTAATATAACCAGTAGGCAGCCAAGCTGGAGGTGAACAATTAGTTTAGGAATTTGAAGTATTAAAAAAAAAGGAATTTGAAGTATGAGCAGTCATTAGACATCACTTGTTTATAACTAACGTGCTGGGTCCATCTGCTTTCTTCCTAAGGCCAACTGCAAGCAAATGCTTATTGTGAAAATCCAGATATAGTATTAATTGGCAACAAGGCAGACCTGCCAGACCAGAGGGAAGTCAATGAAAGGCAAGCCCGGGACCTGGCTGACAAATACGGGTGAGTCACTTACGTGGAGATGTCATCTAATCTTGCACACTGCTGCTTAGTAATGGAGCAGGGATATAAGGCTGATACTAGGAGGATGCCCCTTGAATCAATACTGGCACATGAATGAAAAAGATCTTTCAGGGGAATGTATGGGATCTTTCAAACCAATTACTTAATAGTAATAGCAGCTAACATTTGCTGGGTAATTATTATATGCTAACAACTGTCCCTAGACTTTAACTCATTTAACCCTTCATAACCATATGTAGGAGATCTGGAGTCATCCCATTTTAGATACAAAGAATTGAGGCATGGAAAGATTAAGTAACCAATGGACGGTCCGGTAGCTGCTAAGTAGCAGAGTTTGAATTCGACTCAGGCAGTCTGAGATCAGAGCTCATGATCTTCAACACTATATTCTACAGCCTTCCAACTAATAGTTGTAAAACTCTAAGAAATAATACCTAACATGGACATAATGTAATCCTCATCGAAGCTGAGCTTAAATGGCAGATTACAAAAATGTTAAATACCCCCCTGTGATTATAAATTGAGTTCCACCACAGACTTCAAATTTAAAACAGTTTCATCTTCTCTGCCAATTTTTTACTGAAGAATTAATTCTCCTTGAGGGCTTTAAAAATATGTCTTCTTGAAACTTTTGATTCCGAATAAATATAGACTTATTTATTTACATGTATATCCTATTCAGTGCTTGCTTAATTTCTAAGTCCTATTTCCAGATAATTGATTAAAAGGGAAATGATATTTTAATGGTAATATTTACCACTAGTTTAGGTATTTCTACCCTCTTAATTTTTTTTTTTTTGAAACAGGGGTAATGCATTAGCTTCAAATTCCTGAGTACCTCCTGTATCCATTTCCTTGTCCATAAAATTGATGATATCTGTAGGAAAAAGCAGCCCACCAGCTTTTACTCACTGAGAAAAAACAAGGATGCTTTCCAACTCAGCCGGCAAAATCTTGATTATTTCACAGTCTCTCAGCCAGCCATGCTTTTGCATGTGTGACTCATTTGTACATCTTGTTGTGTCTTTTCTGATTTCTTCCTCTCAAAAATATTTGTCATCTCTTCTATTCAAGCATACCATATTTTGAAACAAGTGCAGCAACTGGCCAGAATGTGGAGAAAGCCGTGGAAACCCTTCTGGACTTAATAATGAAGCGAATGGAACAGTGTGTAGAGAAGACACAAGTCCCTGACACCGTCAACGGTGGAAACTCGGGAAAGCTAGATGGGGAGAAACCAGCAGAGAAGAAATGTGGCTGCTAGTCCCTGCATAGGAACTGATCATCAAAAACCCCACCCAAATATTACTTCCCAAAACAGCGGCAAACCACAAAATTGTTGTTGAGTAGACCATGCATACTGGCATATCTTGCTTTTCTGCCTGAAAAATCTATTTTAAGAAACCAGAATAGTCAACAGTGTTCAAAGGATTGACCGGTTGTCTCTGAGGCCCCTCCAGACAAGATCAGAGATTTCCTAATGTGGTCTCACTATGATGGATGCTCAATTTGTGTGTGTGTGTGTGTGTGTGTGTGTGTGTGTGTGTGTGTGTGTTTATAAAGAAGATGAGTAGATAAGAAAGTATTCAAGATGATTATCTGTGAGTTTTAAATCACAACAAAAATTACCATGTCACATGGGGGAAAGGGATAGGCCAGTAAAGGGAAAATATAGAAAGACAATTTTTTTCTTAAAGATTGGATTTACTTCTCATATAGAATTTGATTTGTCCTTTTAGTTTTGCATTGGGGGGACATATTTTGCTAAAAATGGGTACCCAATAAAGAAATCTAAATCGATCGTTAAGAATGACATGGCTATGTATACCCAATAAGCTGTCCTAGGATGGCTTAATTGCTGATAAGTTTATGAGAGTGTGAAAGTCAGACTTCTGCTAAAATATGGGAGATTGTATATTAATGTCCTTTTTATATTCTTAATAAATGACAAATAGACAAGGACAGGACTGTGAATGACAAAGTACAAAAGAAATGCCCTGGAAGAAAAATGAACGTATGATAACATGGCATTTGGACAAATGAAATTAAATGTGTCTGTTACAGATGTCTGGAAGAGTCATTTAGCCAAATTTCACCCAAGCCAATTAGAAGTTGACATTATCACTTGGGATTAAGAGAATCTCCAGAGGTTTCCCTTTCAAACAAAATTTTGGAAATCAGTTCATTGTTCAGTCTCACGTTTCATTTTTCTTAGCAAGTGGTCATGAGGAGAAATTAAAGGTTGCCAAATTTCTTTATTTCTTTAGAAATGCAGTCAAGAAAAACTATTTAGCCTTACTTGGTTTTTTTAGATAAAATATGTCAGCAATATGAAAAGAAAAAGTGACTAATAGTTGTGTGTTTCTTTTTAATTTACAAAAACAATGGAAACTTGGAATCACTTTTCTACCCTCCACACCCACCCCTGGCTTTGAATCAATTGTAAAAATACAGGTGTATCACTTTGTAGAGCAACAACGTCAGAATGATGGATGGTTTTATGCTCGCTCTGAATTTTCATGTCATTCATTACATAACAATTGAGGCATCAACCTCATGCCATAAAACAATATATTTAACATTTGTTTTCATTTCGCCTCAGGCAAAATACCCACCTTTGAGGTATATTTGGGGGTAGGGAAAGAGTGGAGCTATATCTTATCTCTAAAAAGTTGGTTAATCATTTTATTTTTTCACATAAAACTGCCTTTTTTTAAAAAAAATCATCACAAACATATTTTCCATTGTCCTATTCTTAGTATTGTGTCTAAACTGATATTACATTGTTTTTTTTTATCTTTATGGTAAGCCTAAGGAACTCCTATTAAACGATTATTTAAATACTTGTCAGTTTTACCTATAACAAAGGCATCACGCTTCAAGTTTTCTCTTTTTATCATGAGTATATAATTTTGATAGGATGGTTCCTCTTCCTATAAAATTTGCTAATTAAATTTCATTTTGCCATACTCTGTATATTTTTAAATTACAAACATTAGGAACCCTAAATCCAAGTCCCCCATTCTCCCCTTGAGCCTCTCTCTAAGGTCTACATCTGGTCTTGACTCAGTTTTAGGAACACAGATCCAAAGGATTGTCTAAGATGTTCTTGCAAAATTCTCAGTGTTAATTGCTCAGTTCCTCTGACTTCTGCAGCATAAGGCCAGCTTCTAAGATCCATCCTGCTTGGGTGTTCCTTCCAATGGTGTTTTTCTCTACGATGCTCTTCGTGACCTCAGTGCCTGAGCCATGGGGATAGGAAGCTATTAGCCAAGCTCAAAGATGTTTTAACTGAGAGTAAAGTGAGAAGAAGCAATATAATCATTGCTGTGGCAAAATTTGGCAAACTTCCTATGGTCATTTTATCAACTCTTCTTTGGATTCGAATTGTGATGTCCTCTGCATCTCCGTAATAGGGAATGTTTAGCCTTTATAAAATCCTAAAGGTATTCTATTTTGGATTTGGTTTTTTTGTTTTTGTTTTTGTTTGCTGTTTGTTTTTGGTTTCTATTCTTTTTCCAGTTATATGATTGACTTATTTTTGCCAAGATTCTGTCATTGTCAGTTATTTCACAAGAATTTCTTCAGAGTCTATTTTAAGATCATTATTTGATAGATGTAGCATGAAGCAGAGGGCGATGATGCCCATAATTATAGAACTATGCCTATAAAAATAACAATTATTGGGTAGCATTCTCAAGAGGAAGGAAATCTAAAGAAGACAAGGAAACTAAAATAGCATCCTACTTATAAATAAGTACTTGATCTAAAAAAATATTTTCTCTGACAAGTTTGACATCTGATCCCAAATTCTATGTGACCATTACTGGAAATTCCTTCACCTAATTATTTCAGAATTAATAATTATGTATAATCCGTTTTATAATTTCAAATTGGTTTGAAATTTCTTGTTAGTATATAGATTGCTTTAAAGAATTACATACCTCCTTTAACCCAAAACAGCATGTATTTTTAGCCCAGATGTATCCTGTTATTGTTATCTCCCAAATGCTTTGGTAAACCCCCATACTGTATTTTGGGGAAATATTTAAAATGTAGATGAAACTTCTTTCTGATATAGAAATCACTTCTGGAGTGCTTACACTAGTTTGATGTTTACATTGCTCTAACACAGTGCCTCGAATACCTCTGTGACCAAATTTGTCTCCAACCACATAGCTCACAGTTCCTATGATGTCATAAAAGAAGAGGGCCTCACAGAGACACTAATACAGTGAAAGATATCCTGGTGTCTTCAGCAAAGCGTACAGGATGTTACTGGAATCTGGAGATGATTACCACCATCTCTTTCTCCTAAGCTTCTCACGGAAAGGGCATTGCTTGAGATTCAACTGTGAGTAGGTACAAGGTTACCTTCTAATACACAAAAAGAAAAATCCTTTGAAAACTGTGTCAAAAAATAGCTGAGAAAACATGTCGTCTTGGTATGACGGGTGTCACAAGTCATAAATTGGCAGAGAAAATGCGAAACGCTAGGAATTGAGCTTGTGGGTCTCTACAGTTTTAGAATTCTTGAAACCGCTCTAGTGATTTGCTATCATTTCCATATTATCAGCTATACACTGCAAAAAAAATTCAAAACCAGCATTTTCTAAAGCAAAGTAAACATTTCATCTGTTGTTCTTAACCAGATGGGCCAGTCCGGTCCATGTATCAGCGGATGTCTTTGTTATGCTTCTAGCGTAAATTATTCTCTGCCAACCTGCACACATAAAATGAACTGGGTAAGAGTTTTAATCCGATCTTTCTTGTCTCCACTGTAAGAGGGACAAGTTTGACCATAGGGAATTACATGACGACATTAAGAATAATTTAATAACAGCCAAAATATCCTATAAAGTGTTAATTGAATCCAGTGGAAATCAATAAGTTTGATGAAGCTCATCTACATACTCATCAGCCAGAAAGAGAAGCAATATGTGTAATAGTGAATAGCTAGGTATAGTAGGAACCTGGAACCTATGTCCATGACACAAAATTATTCACTGCTCTGTATCTCTGCTCACTTTTAAAAAGGTTACATATGCTTTCTTCAGTGTCTATTATACTAAAACACTGAAGGAAAATTCTCATCCATGGAGAATTTTGGGGTTATCATCTCCAACTCAAACTGTAAAGAGCTAATATTGAAATTTCTGGTTTCCTAAGAGAATGAACTCTTTAAAAGAGAGCTCTGAGAGCTGGTGTGAGCCAAAGGGATGGAAAAGTTGTCTTTCACCCTGTACCACCAAGCTTTAAAACATTAAAAGAAGGCTGGTGCCTGTGAATATTTCAGGGAAAGCTTTGTTATCTTTAAAGATGCCAAGATGCTTGAGAAAGTTGTCAGAGAATTCACCAAACACTATATTTTCTTCTTGATCCTTGACCAATGTGATATAAACTTGTTTCCGGGGAGAGCGCTGAGCTCTTAGACATGGAAAGCAGAAATAGAGTATTATCTGAGATGAATGTTGTCTCAATGCTTTATAAACCCATGACGATATTTGTCTCAAAGTAGAACTGATAAAATCATTGTTAGAAATCTAAGGAGTTTTATAAATTTGTTGCCTTAGAATTCTTAGGTGGAGACCCAAACATGATGACATTGTTGGGGAAAAGCTGTAAAGGGAGGTTAGAGTTAAATGTTGTCTGAATAGTGTTCTTAAATATTGCGGAACACACAGAAGGCCATACTTTGAGTTTGACTTTTAGGTAGAAAACAAAAGGAGAATTAGTAACAGGTAGAGTTTTTGTAACTAGATCCATGGCAAATATTTAACCATCATTTTTATCTACCAAGTAGTTTATGCCTTTAGAACTAAGCTTATAAAAACATTCAAACGCCAAATGTTTCATTAGTGGCATCAAAATGTGGGAACTTTGAAACATTTTGTTTGCTCTATCCCAACTTAATTTTCTCATAAATTGCATTTTGATTAATTTTTCAAGGAATAGAATCAAAAAGATGCTTCTCTGCAGATCTCCTTTTACCAACAGTGTATGGTTGAGATATTTTCTAGCTTCATATATAGATAGAACAAAAAACAAGCAAAAAACATTAGTAACAAAATAGTGGGGTTATTTAAAAGGGTGTCAGCTTTTGAAGAAAAAAACTTACAAAGAAATCATCTTTGAGTCGATCAAACTTGTTTAATGGCTCCTTTTCTTTCCAACAGGTCACGGAAATCATGGCTAATATCCCTCAACTAACTTAGTCTTTAAGAATCATTAGCAAATTTTGTAGAAGTGAGCATGTCTGTCCTTAACCTAATGGATCCCTTATTTAACCAAAGGCTCTTGTCCTTATATCTGTTGGAATATCAAAATAGTGTCTGTCCCTAGTAAACGTATTCTTATAATTTTCTGTTCTCCAGGTTATTTTTTTAAATCCTCTTTGAGAGGAAACCTAGTATTGTAGAAAGGAGACTCGTCAGAAAGAACAATTTGGGGCTCATGAGTGTGCCATTAAATATCTTAGTGGCTTCTCTTCATATGGAACTTATAAACCCTGTGTCCCTCATAGAG